GCAATCTTGGCTCACTGCAACCTCTGCCTCCTGGGTTCAAGCGATTCTCCTGCCTCAGTCTCCCAAGTGTTGAAAAACGTGCGCTTTGAATGAAAACACCTTCCAAACAGGCTTTGTATGAGCAACATGGCTGTTTATTCAACTGCGTACAGGTGGGCTAGGAGTTGGTTTTATAGGTTTGGGTAGTTTTTTGCGGGGAGGGGGTGTTGCAGAGTAAATTTAGTTCCTGTGCTGGGATTGGGTGAGAGGTATTTGCATTATTAGAAGAACAGTTAAGATGGCAGGGTTGGGTGAGGGGCTTGTCTGGGGAAGCTCAGGGACAATGGCACATGCAGGCGGCGGGGTGGGGGAGGTGGCGGGGGTGGTGGGAGACTTCAGCCGAGGAGAGCAGGACTTCAGACTTTCAGGCTCCAGGCTTGCATATGGAGACCTGACACCAAGTACCTGGAATTACAGGCACCTGCCACCACACCCAGCTAATTTTTGTATTTTTAATAGAGATGGGGTTTCGCCATGTTGGCCAGGCTGGTCTCCAACTCCTGACCTCAAGTGATCCACCCACCTTGACCTCCCAAAGTGCCGGGATTACAGGTGTGAGCCACCAAGCCCTGCCGGAAGATTTTTTTTTTTAATTGCATTTTAGATTTTAGGGTACATGTGAAGAACATGCAAGATTGTTGCATAGGTACACACATGGCAGTGTGATTTGCTGCCTTCCTCCCCAGCACCTATATCCTATATCTGGCATTTCTCCCCATGCTCTCTCTCTCACCAACTCCCCACCCCCCCTCAGAAGATGTTTTTCTAATATCAGTAAAACATGTGAACCCAGCTTACTAGTAGCTGTAATTTTGGAAGAAATTGTGACTTAAAGGAGGTGTGAGTTCTGCAATAAATGATTATTACTCTCAACAGTATCTCCAAACATTAAAAGAAAAAACAGTGGCGTGTTATTTATATCAGCCCATGATTGCTTTGTCTGCAGGCAGTTCTGGTTGCTCCTGGGGATAAAGCGACCTTTGCAACAACACCATCGAGTCTTGGCTGGAAGCCTAGTCTAGACTAAGGGTCACTTCTGACTGCTCAGCAGGGCACCTGCCAGGCCCCTCAGCCCCTTCTGCTTTTGCAATCACATGCTCCCATTCGGGTGACACCCCCCAGGGCACCGAGGAAGAACTGTGCAGACCCAGGCACAATTAGTGCCTGAAGTGTAACTCACTGCTTACTATATCTAGCTTATATATCTCATCATACTAAGTCCTATAATCTTTCTATATAATCAGATAATAACTTACTGCTTACTACATCTAGCTTATATACATAATCATACTTATTTCCATATAATCTTTCCATATAATCATATAGGTATTGCAGTCGGAGCTGTACCGACACATTTAGTGCTGATTTATAGAATCCTTCTATATAACCATATAGTAGTTTGTAGTAGGAGGAATGCCTAGAGCAGTCACAGAACAGAAGCAGTATTTGGGAAAACAGCCAGGCCAGGACAAGAACCAAACACCCAGGCAGTGGCGTCCCTGCCTGAAAGGGCATATGCTGTATGGCAGGCTTGGAGCAAGAGCCTCTTCTCCTGATAAAGGAGCTGTAGTACCTTGCATCCAGTTCCTGTGGAAAGCAGGCCTCAGGCCTGAGATCCTGGAAATAACTGAGGGAGAAGAACCCCTCTGGTATGACCAGTCAGGGCGGCTGTACACCGTGTCAGCCTTTTCTCGCCCCTGTGCTGGCTCAAATCATCCTAGCATAAATATCTTAAGAGCACAAGTCTGTCAGCTCCCACTGCATTGGCTTACAAGTACCCTTCTATTAGAAATCTTGGCTGGGCATGGTGGCTCACGCCTGTAATCCTAGCACTTTGGGAGGCCAAGGTGGATGGATCACCTGAGGTCAGGAGTTCAAGACCAGCCTGGCCATTATGGTGAAACCCCATCTTTAAAAAAACAAACAAACCCTGAACGCGCCCTATCTCGTCAGATCTTGGAAGCAAAGCAGGGTTGGGCCTGGTTAGTACTTGGATGGGAGACCGCCTGGGAACACCGGGTGCCGTAGGCTTTAAAAAAAAAAAAAAAGAAGTAAATAAAGAAATCCTTCGAAGTCTCCAGCCCCCAGATACGAAGTGTTGCGCACGACACCTGTTGCACACAGCCCACCTCCTTGCCTCAGTGACCTAATGGGGGTGGACCCCTTTTCTGTACACGACCCTCTGCTATTGCACATGGCACGGCCCCCCATCGCACATGGCCCACCTCTCTGCCCAGGTGACATAATGGGGTGGCCCCCTCGCTTGTGACTCATGTGATTATGTATGCCCTATTACTAAGCCTATAGATGATGACCTCACTTACCACCCTACCCCCTGCTTGTACCTAATAAATACAGATGCTTCTGGGCATTCTGGGCCTCGCTGATCTCCGCTCATAGGTGGTGTGGCCCCCCAAGTCTGCTGCTCTTCACCAGTTCTTTGGTGTCCTGTCTCTTTACTTCCCAGATCCTGCACTTCAGCACAGCATAAGGGACACCCCATGACCCAGTGAGGCCCAACAGCCCTACCCTCCCACTGATACCCATAATTATTAAGTCTGTTTTAAATGAGAGTAATAATTATGATGAAAAATTTTGCCATGGAATCAAAAAGGTATTTCAGAGTAGAACAGGAGTAGACAGAGAATTTCCAAACATGAGCCAGTATCCCCACCCAGATGTCCTACCATCTTAAATTTGACACACCTCTAAAACTGTACTTATCTTTCTCCTCCCTATAACTGAGCTGCACTCAGTTATACATTTTTAGTTCCCTACAATTGCAAACTGTGGGTGGGAGACCCCATAAGTGCCGAGGCAGGAGTCAGAGGCCTCAACCTGTTCCCATATAAATAATGAAGAAGAAAATAACTAGAGATATAACTAGAGTAGTTATTCATAGGTGATCTTATTCATAGGTAACCATTTATATATATATATGCTCAGCATAATCTTTTACTTATGCCTGTCAGGTCACAAAGTATGAACCTAAGGTGATATTGTGAAAGAAGTGACTCTAAGGCAAGATGCTCTAAGCCCTCTGTCACGCCTGTGTAAGGGCTGCTGGAGGGCGCCTTGGCTGTGCAGCAGCACCAGCACTGGGAAAGTACCCGCTATTTAGCCAGCTGTGGAAGGAGACAGCCAAGATGCCTTCTTCCCCGGAGGAGTTTGGAGAAAACTCCACTCCTCCAAGCTCTTGAGGAAGGCCTGACGCTGTCAGGGAGGCCTGCAGACATCCAGGGGCTTCACTGTCTCTATGTGATGCTGTGCTTCAGTGGTCATGTTCCATGTCCGCTCTCATGTTCCGCTTCTGCACCTGGTTCCTTTTTCTTGGAAGATATAATCAGTAAAAGTAACGTAAATCTAATTGTCTTTGTCCTTTCTTGGCAAGTATGGAAAAAGTGCTGATGCATTATGCTCCTTACCTTATCTCGGCTACTTAAAGTCCTGGGCCACCATCCCTATGATACGTGATATACTTGATCGTATCACTGATCACCAATGCCTCGCCCTACCTACCCTGCCTCCAGCTTTGTACACAATAAAAGTCAGAGGGTGCAGACACTCGGGGCCGCTGCCAGACTCCGCACTTTGGTTGGACGTGGACCCCTGGGCCCAAACTCTGTTTTCTCTTTCTTGGTGTCTTGGGTCTTTTATTTCCACAGTTTCCCGTCTCCACACCTGTAGAGAGGGGCTCACAGGACCCTGTAGGGCTAGGCCCTACAGCAAACCTTCTGATATATTTTTCCTTGTTCTGCTTCCCCCCCCCCTTTTTTTTTTAGACAGAGTCTTGCTCTGTCACCCAGGCTGGAGTGCAGTGGCACAATATCGGCTCACTGCAACCTCTGCCTCCCAGGTTCAAGTGATTCTTCTGCCTCAGCCTCCAGAGTAGCTGGGATTACAGGCAAGCACCACCATGCCCAGCTAATTTTTGTATTTTTAGTGGAGACGGGGTTTCACCATGTTGGTCAGGCAGGTCTTGAACTCCTGACCTTGTGATCTGCCGGTCTTGGCCTCCCAAAGTGCTGGGATTACATGTTTGAGCCACCGCGCCTGACCCCCCCGCCTTTTTTTTTTTTTTTTAAACAGAGTCTCACTATGTTGCCCAAGCTAGACTCAAACTCCTTGGCTCAAGTGATTGTCCCACCTCGGCCTCACGAGTAGTTGGGACTACAGGTGAGAACCACGGAGCACAACGCCTGCTTCTTCCTTATTCTTTACATGGCGAATTGCTAAGTCCAGTTGATGCTGTCTCTGTAAATTTCATAGGTGTGTGTCTTAGATTAGACCTCCCCAAACAGACCCTGAGACAAGAATTTGGGTGCAGGTAATTGATTATGGAGCTGATCTCGGGGTGCAGGAGTAAGTGGAAACTGTGGGACAAAGAAAAGCAAGTAAAGGGTGGGTAATTGAGCCGCGCAACAAGGGCCCACTTCCACGAGGGGCTCTCTGAGGAACTCCGTAGAACCACGATTCTCAAACTTCAGCAGGCTCTTGGGCACACCGAGTCTTGCTATGCTGCCCAGGCTGCTCTCGAACTCCTGACCTCAGGCGATCTTCCCGCCTCGGCCTCTGAAAGCGCTGGGATTACAGGCGTGAGCCACCACGTAGGGCCTGCTGATAAATCTGAAAATGCCCGGCCCCAGCCTCGGGGTCCTGATCCAGCAGCCTTGGAGTGGGCCCGAGGAAGGGCCGCGGTGTGAACTGTATCTCAGAACTACGGCACCCCGAGAGAGCAGCCACTCGCCAGAGCCGGTCAGACAGGCTGGGCCTGAAGGCAGAGAAGCCGAGAGCGCCGGGGAGCGCCTGGGCCAAGCTTCCCGGCTCCGGCCCAGACGGCAGCTTCGTCCACGTTGCCTGGACGGCCGGGGTGGCGCGGAGCGATGACGTCAGGGCGCCCCCGGCTCCGGCCCCGCCCACGAGACGGAAGTAGGCCCAGAGGCGGCGCGGGTCGGGCGGCGCGGGTCGGGCGGCGCGGGTCGGGCGGCGGGGCCGGGGCCTGGATAGCTTGGCGTAACTGGCAGCTAGTCCTCGCCCTCCCGGGTCGGCGGCGGGCCGACAGGCATCCCGTGAGCGCCTGCTGCGTGAGTTGGGCGGGGTGGCGCCGCGGGGACCGGCAGGCTGTAAAGTGGAGGCGGCGGGGCGGGAGCGGGGTGGGGGGCATCGCACGTGACCCGGGGGCGCCTGGGCTGTGCGGATTCGCGGGCGGCGGGGGTGGGGTTGCCCAGAGCAGGAGCCGGGAGGGCCGGTGGCCCGCGTGCCGGGCGTTTGGAGGACTTTGCATGTTGTCCCGAGGCCACTGGGCAGCTGTTCATGGAAGGGAGAGTGATCCACACCGCAGAGAAGACTGGAGGTGGCTGTTGCCGGAATAGTGATCTTGAAGTCCCCACTTCCATGCCAGAATCTGAAGCGAGCGTCTCCTGTGGATGACAGCAGCTTAGTCGTTAGATCCTGTGCACTAGCCAGGCGTCACCGTATCTGGATGACAGCAGCCCAGACAGTAGTCGCTAGGCACTGACCAGGCGTCAATGTGTTATCACCCCCAAGGCGCACAGACCTTGGGAAGGTCGCCCAGCTAGGAAGCTGTAACGTTGGGATTTGAACCCAGTCTGGCTTCACAAGCCTTATGTGTAACAGCTGTACCATAATGCTGTAAGGTTGGTGACTTCGAGTGGCATGGGCCCATAGGTACTGGTTAGGATCTGGGGATTTGGAGCCAGCTGTGGTCAGTTTCTCTAAGAAGCTCCCGTTTCCTCACCTGGAAGAGGGGGCTACTGATGGTACTTGGGCTTGGTGGGCACCACTGAGGTCCTGTAGCTGCTTAACACAGTCACCTGCACGCAATACAAGCTCAGTCACTGGAGGTTGTTATGAAGGGATTATGGGGTGGAGAGAAATGAGAAGATTCTGTAAGGAGTTAGAGATGCACTGTGGGCTTGGTAATTTACTGGGCTGTGGCGAATGAGGGGGAGGGGAATTCCAGCATGACATTGGGGTTTGTGGCTCGAGTAATCCTTGTGTCACTGGCAGTGTGGAAGTGGGCCGCAGGTCAGGGCTGAGAGGCTGGATTCAGTGTTGGGACTCAGTTTGAAGATGTTCAGAAGGTAAGAGGCGGGGAGTGTGCAGTTGGCTGTCAAATAAGCTCATGAGTCTGGAGGTGTGGACTGGGGACCCTCCACACATTGAGGACATACCTCAGAGTGGAATTGCTGGGTCACGTCGTCGGTATGTTTAATTGCTTGTGGAACTGCCGCACCGTTTTCCAGAATGGCTGGCTTACTTTACGTTTTCACTGGAAGTGCGTGAGAGTCTGATTTCTCCTCATCCTCTCAATACTTGTGATTACTTATCAGTGTTCTTGAGAAATAGGGTCTTTCTGTGGCACCCTGTAGCAGGAGCGGCTGTGGGAAATGGATCTCTGGAACACCGAATACAGGAGGAAAGAGTTTATTACAGCCGGGAGCTAAGGCAATGATTTGCCCAAATTCAGCTCGCCTAACAAAGGAAGGTTCTGCCTTTATATAGGCTTATACTTTAGATGTTACACGTGGAAGAATCTTCGGTTTATAGCTTTAGAAATCACATATGAAAAGAGTTTCAGTTTACAACTTCAGGAATCACATATGAAAGGGTTCCGGTTTATAGTTTTAGGACTCACATATGAAAAGGTCTCTGTTTACAGTTTTAGGAATCACATATGAAAGGGTCCCGGTTTACAGCTTTAGGACTCACATGTGAAAAGGTTTTGGTTTGATCTTGTTTTAAGTAAAAATAGTGCCTTTCGGAGAATTTCCCCGAGACCAAGCCTGTTATTTGCAGGAAGGAGATTCAGGAGGCGCCAGCTGGCCTGCTCTCTCTTCTATTGATGCACAGTGGATGACAGAGCGGGAGGGAATCCCAGATGCCTGGGTCTTCTTCCTCAGCCCAGGCTGGTCTCAAACTCCTGGGCTCAAGCTGTTCTCCTGCCTCAGCCTCCCCAGAGTAGCTGGGACTACAGGCATGTACCACCATAGCCAGCTTTTAATATCTTTTGGCTCGTTGCCATCCTAGCGGATATGAAGTGGTCTCTCATTGGGTTTTTGGTTTGCATTTCCCTGATGGCTAATGATGTTAACCGTATTTTCCTGTGTGTGTTTGTTTTTTCTCTGAGATGGAGTTTCTCTCTCGTTGCCCAGGCTGGAGTGCAATGGCACGATCTCGGCTCACTGCAGCCTCCGCCTACTGGGTTCAAGCGTTTCTCCTGTCTCAGCCTCCCAAGTAGCTGGGATTACAGGCGCCTGCCACCATGCCCAGCTAATTTTTGTATTTTTAGTAGAGATGGGGTTTCATCATGTTGGCCAGGCTGGTCTCAAACTCCTGACCTCAGGTGATCCGCCCGTCTTGGCCTCCCAAAGTGCT